CGGCGGCTCCAACCGTCCGATACATCCAACATCCGTTGGCTCTTTCATATCTGAAGCCGTACCTTGAGTGCGTCATCTCCAGTTTGCCGAAGAAGTTGAAGGATAGGTTGGTGTTCTTCCATTCACAGGACTCGAAAGCTGATGAACAATCGTTAATGGTTCCACACTCGCAGGGTCCGAAAGGGGCTGCAGTTTTTAGCACTCTAGGTGCCATGGAATCGAAGTTCTTTTTAATGTCAGTGGTCCCTGACGTCTCCACATCGCAATTGGTGGACTAAATGGCTTAGCAACGGGATCATATTTTAGCCATATAATTTTACGGGTTTTAGAGAGGTTTTGAGTAGAGTTCGACCAGCTGATGCTGATCCTACTCGCGTCTTCAGACTATTTAGTCGGAAAGTTCGCGTCCTAACCACTGATCTATTTCGAGCTTCCGCGCGACTGATAGCTGCTGAACATTGGTATCTTGTGGTGTGGTATGTGCAGCATTTAACGACCTAAGGCCAGGATGTAAACAAAAACGACTCACAATAATGGACGCTCGCGCACTTATCACTGTTGGTATGACTCAGACTAATATGGATCTCAATAACGGTCAATATCTGACTACCTTACCCTTATCACTGCTTCCAAACAAATATTGTGATCCACGCCTCTGAACTATATTGTGAGCTATTTTGTTTTGCACATTTTCAGTGCCAGATGATTTGTTGTGCTAAAGCAATGAAATTTCGAAGCATCACTGTACTTCACATATTAACGTTCCATTCGAGTTCACTTGGTCCAGAGGATGTGTCGTTCAGGTGTAGCGCACTTTCGGGGCTTAGCTACCATGGCTGCCGAAGGATGCACGCGGATTGATGTCCTGTACGGTTGTCCAAGCATTGGCAGGGGCACTCGAAGTTCAAAGCAATGACCTTCCGGTCAGCAGTTTCGTGCCTTAACCACAGCCATCTCGAGCTTGGTGCGCAGCAAAAGCTTTACATTTTGCTCTTCATATTCTCTACAGTGACAGGAATTCCAATCATCAGGATAGGCTTGGGCTGCATTTACGGCGTTAACAATGACCTGCTATGGTGCATGAAGCCTCGGGCTCACGGGTTTGGTGTTGAGATCTCTGTGGATGACTCAGTGACTTATAGAAACGCTTGAGCTTTCACTCCCACTGGTAGCTGGAGCCTCATTGCCAGCCATTCAGGGGAAGGGCTTGATCTGTTGCGTTAGTAACATTATTCTCCAATGGAATTTAGTTTCGTTCACACTGGTTTCAGGTGTTTGACGTTAAGTCTCCGTTGTTGGTAACCGGTTTCTGGAGATTTAGCCCTCACATATGTCTTGACCTGACAGAGGGGTACGAAAGAAGTCACGGAACGTTTGGGTGCTGCTGGTGCTACTCGCCTTCCAGGAGGGGGACCGCATGATCCTCACTGCGCTTGGTTCCAGACGTTGCAAGATATGGCTGCTAACCGATGTCAGTGGCAGCCTTGTCAATTTCTATCCAGATTGCCTGAATGAGTGTTTGGAGGTGTAGGCACATCGAAATGATTGGTAAGCCAGCTCTAAGTCCCTTCGCCATCCACCTTTATTCTTTTCTTCACAATAAAGCTTTCAATTAAATCATGGTTGTACGGCAGCAAAGCATTGGTGTTGAGCATTGATGTCATGCTGTCGATGATGATGATAATGGTGATTTACGTCTTGGCTACCATCAATTACGTTGGGATCAGTCAGTCATTGCTGTCCAGTTTTTCAGATAGCCCGTGAATCGAAGTACGGTGGTTCCAGATGCTACCTGTTCGTTCACGAAGGATAAAAAATGAGATGGTAGCCATGTATTTCAGGTGATGACCCAGTCACTTAATCGAACTTGAATGGTTCTGTTCGTCCAGTATGACGAGGTGGCAGTGCTACGTCGTAAAGGCAATAGGTTTGATGCAGGATCGTTATTGACTGTGCCATAGGCATATCCGCCAGAAAGGTTCTGAACCGTTTTCATGGTGAATTCCGTGCCGCGAGGTAGTTACACCACTTTTTCAACACCCAAATTGCCATGAGACGTCCGATTTGAGCCCCACATAGCGCAGCGGTTAGGCTGCAAAGCTACTGACAGGAAGGCCCATGGCTCGAACACAACTGAGAGCCTTCATCTTGTGGTTGTCCGGCTTCTGCTGCGCTGATCCTGCAGACTATACCGGCTGGAACCCAGTTCCTGAAGGATCTGCCAAGGGGTAGCAGTCCGACGAAGGACTGCTAGTCCTCGTTTTGCAAGAAGTCGTATAGTCAGGCGGTCTGGATGTAAAACCGTACTGTCCTATATGAAACAAGTAAGGCGTTTCTTTTAGGCGACCGCAATGTTTATATTTACAGAAGCGGCGACACTGCCTTCGATGGGTTAGAAAAAGTCGGCCGTTAAAAACGCCCATCTCGGTCGACGGAGGGTTGATCGTGACCATCGGCACATTATTCAGTACGCTTGAAATACCTTTAACACCAAAGAGTTTGGTGATACCCAAACGGCACCTGCTGTATGCAACCCCATTTGTACCTTTCTCCCTTTATCTTCGGACCAGACCAGCCCTCTTAGTCAATTGAGCCCCCCTCAGTCCTTTGTTTTCGAGACGAATCTCTCAAGAAAGCC